TATATATATATATATATATATATATACTACTTAGAATGAGAAAAGCAGGACAAAGTGTGACAACACAGTTGAATCTTGAGTACCCAGGATGTGAAATAAAGACACAATCATAAAAACCTAAGTATGCTACAATTCCATTCATACAAGGTATTTAAAACAAATTCTTAGAGTTAAAGGTTAGCAGGGACTGGGTAAAGGAGAAATGGGGAGTTAGTAGTCATAGCTTCAATTCAGCAAGATGAATAGACCCTAGAGGTCTACTGTATACTGTTGTGCACACAGTCAGTAATGCACAATTAAAATTTTTGTTATAAGAGTTGATCTCATGTTTGGATTCTTACAAAACAAAAATAAAAACAACAGTTAAATCTAAACCAAAACAAAATAGTGCTGTATAAAATGCCCAAAACTGAGAAATCATCAGAGGTCAAGCTTTTATGACTATGTGAGTAACATAGCCATAGAAATCGGTCAGTGAAATGGCTCACTGGGCAAAGCTGCTTGTCGCCAAGCTCACGTGAGTTCAGTTGTTGGAATGTACCTGGTAGAAGGGCAGAACTGAGTTCTGCAAGTTGTCTTCTGATCTCACACATGTGCTGTGGCCCTCAACTCCCAATGCACATACACATGCAAACAAATAAAACCATGGTGAACTTCGGTGTTTTCCTTTGTATTGTATTAGTCTGCAGAAAGAAATTGCAGAAAGCAGGCGATATGTAAGAGTAATATTATCAGCCTCCAGTTACCCACCCTAACAAAAGAGAACAAGTGACGGGTGCATGACAGCAGCCATTTAATGCACCTGAAGAAAAGTGGGCAGCCCAGCCAATTCTGCAAGCATATGAAAGGCTGGTGGGTTTAAATTGGGACTCACTTTTGATTATCTGTAGGATTATTTTAAATTTTGGAAGTCTCTTGACCATAGAGACAAGACATTCATAAATGTTATCATTTAGTCCCATGATTCTTTTATGGAGTTCCATCTTAAAGTAATAATTCTAAAAGGAGAATCTGCATAAAGATGCTTGTTATAGTATTACTTTTAAAAAAATAGCTTAGTAGTCAGGAAACAAGTCATTGCATTCATGTTATCAACAGACTGCAGAGATAGTTCCAGATGCCTCCTCTGGCCTCAGGTGGGAACTTGCACACATGTAGAACACACATGTTATGATAAATCTTTCTGCCAAATGCTGCCTGAGCCCCACGCTTTATGCCAGCTGCCCGCCTGAGTTAGGCCCAAATAAATACACAGAGAGACTTGTATTAGTTACAATGCTGCTTGGCCAATGACTAGGATTCCTCATCTGTTAGCTCAGTCTTAATTATCATAAATCTATATATTTTATAAGACTTATCGGACGCCTTGTTGGCATCCCTCCTGGCTGGTGGATCACATCCTGTCCCTGGAGGAGGAAGGGGAAAAGAGGGCCCTTCCTGTTTCTCCTTCACTTAAATGAGAGTCTCCTTGCTATGTCACTTCCTGCCTGGATCAGCACTTCTCTACTACATTTCCCAGAACCCTCTTTGACTCCTAGTCCCGTCTATTCGCTGTCTCATTGGCCAAACAGTATTTTATTTAACAATCAATAAGATAAACATACACAGTACATTCCCCATCACACACACAAAGACATATACATAAAAACAAAATCTTTTTTAAAAATGCTTCCACTAAAAGTGTGAACATTAAGGCAAAGTTGTAAGCATTAAAGTGCAGATGGAAAGGTATTCTGACACTTGGAAGCCAAAGAACACTAAGTGTTACAGTTCGGATGGAAAAGTATTCTGGCAGTTGGGAGGCAATGACTATCATGGTCACAGTAGGTGTAGCAGCTTACAGCCCTGCTCCAGGGAAAGGCTTCCCCGGTGTAACAGCTCTGCTTGGGCAGGGGAAGGTTTCCCCAGGGAAGTCAAAGTCGTTACAGTTCTGTTCCTGTCCCCTGGACTATAATAACAACTCTAATCTGCCAGGAGAAGGTTTCCCTGGGCTAAAGTGTTACAGTCCTGCTCTGCTCCCCTCTGCCCAGGCTCTGAAAGGAGGCTGTCACCCAAACCTCATGCAAAGATTTACTAGGAGAGAAGAATCCAGGAGAGTGGCTGCCTCTGCCAGGGTGGAAGAAGATGGCGGCAAAGTGAGTAAGTGCAAGACTTAGGGGCTTCTTAGGGGTGGATTTTTTTTTCCAGGCAGAAGATTTCCAGAGTGGTGATTGGTCAGATTTCAGTCCCTCAGCTCAGATTGGCTAGATCTCATGTTCAGGGATTGGTGGTTGGTTTTTCTGCTCTGTGATTGGTTGTTTTTCTGCTCTGGTCACTGACCTTTTCAGCCCTTTGGCTCTAATTTCAGGGCCAGGGCATATTTCTTCCACTGGCTGTGATTTTAGGGCCAAAGTGTGTTTCTTTGACTCTGCTCAGGGTATTTGGGGGGTGGGGTGGGGCTGGCCCTTTTCCCTGCAAAAGTAGTAGCCTGGTCTATGTAGAGAGTTCTAATACAGGCAGGACTACATAATGAGACCCTTTCTCAAGAAAACAAAAGACAAAAAATAATACAAATAACAATTTACATTAGCTTTTAAGAAATTGCAAATTGAACCTAGCTATGGCTTTCGTGTTCGATACATATGAGTGTATTTGTGTGTGAATTTGAGCGTGCACAGGAAGGGCAGAGGACAAGCTAGAGTGTAGGTCCTTCCACTTGACCTTGATTTGAAAAAGACTTTCTTTGCATTTTTTTCTCTGCAGGCCAGGCTGCAGATTCTAGGGTCGTCCTGTCTGCCTCTCACCTCCCTATGGGACTTCAGGGTTTCCTGTTTGGGAATTATTCTATTTGGTCCACAAATAAATAATGAATGTTCTGTACTTGAATAACACAAATCCTGACATCAGGAAACTTATGTTTGAGTGGCAGGAGGCAGAAAAACGAGATGAGCCCACTAAATGTCACAATAGGTGAGGAGCACTCGCCAAAAGACAACAACAACAACAACAAAAAGCAAAAAAATCAAATGGGGACAAGAGAATAAATTGGATATCTCATGTATTCCGCGCCCGGAGCTGTTCCTTCCGGAAGGAAGGCAGGCGTGGGAATTCAGAGCCGACCTGTCAGTCACGGAGGGGTCTGGCGATCAAGGCCGCCGTCCCGACGCCTCCGCGGCGGGTGTTATCCTGGGCACGCGCCTTCTAGGCGAAGCGGGTCACGTGACCCGAGAGGCGGGAGTTGGTGAACGGAGTTTAGCCGGGAAGTTTAGCCGACTGGAAGACGGGCGGGGCCGAGAACCAAACAAACGCCGAGGCTTCCGAGCGGCTGGGGGCGGGGCCGGGGTGGCCCCGCCCCTTCCCAGTCCCGAGCGCAGGCCTTCCGCCGGGTTGATCTTACGGTTGCTGGTCGCTTCGGGCCGCGCGGTGTACGGTCGGGCTGAGGCGCGCGCTGCAATGGCGACCTTTGTGAGCGAGCTGGAGGCGGCCAAGAAGAACTTGAGCGAGGCGCTGGGAGACAACGTGAAACAGTAAGAGCCACAGAGACCAGCC